CTGGGAGCTGGCATGCAGGTCTTATGGCTCACACAGGGAACGCTGCGGAGCCGCCTGAGCTCTGTTTACTCATTTTGTGGCGGTGGAGGTTGTTGGTTCCAGGCGGTGGCCGTGCGGATGTGGGTAACCTGGGAGCCATGCTCAAGCCCAGTCACAGCAGAAGCGCTGGGAAAAACTGAGCAATGCATATGCGCACCTTGGCAGCTGAGAAGTAGACAATAACTGTTTGTCTCCAGCGAGCAGGGAAGACTGCACAAACTGTGATATAAATCAGATGTGGGGAAGCGCTGTAATTAATCAGCGGGGAACCCTTTATAGAGGGCTCCAAAGGGCCCCACGTTGGGCGCCAATTGAAGCGGCGAGGTCGATGGGTAATTAAAAATTAGCCAGAGTATCTTAATATAAAAGATATAGCTTTAATAAACAGAAGAAAGGAAACTTACACCAGGGTCCCAACGATATGAGAACGCAGGGGCAAAGAGGAAGCAGCAAGCGCACTCCGATCTTTTATTTGTATTGGGTTGTCTGAGGCAGCCACACCTTAAGTAGAATTTGATTGGCTGAGATTCCCCTTCACATGCTCCCTGATTTCTTTAGGGAAACTCTCACGTTAATAAACACTGGCTTCAATACTGACACTGACAGACCAAACCTGCATCTGTGTAACCGTCCTGTCTGGTAGCAATGGGAATAATCTAAATAGGCACTCACTCTGCCCTCTTTGCCATCAGACATCTGAGGGGAAGCTGCCTTGTCTGTCTTGAAGGGGAACCCCTGAAAGGATTCTGTGTCTGAAAATCCTGGATGACTGATCTGAATTTCAGTGCTGGAGAGAGATGGTAACTTTGCAGGACCAGAGGCTAATTACCTTCTCATGAGCTAAGGGTGTTGGGTCCAGGGCGGTCGTGCAAAGTTGAGGATAGACCAGTAAGTCTAATAACCAGAAGCAAACTTTATTCCAGAAACCAGACTCCAGGAAAAGAAGTTAGAAAGAAAAAAATCTCCTTAGGGCACAAAGAACTTATCAGCTAGCAGAGATGACAGCCTGAGATGGATTTTGTCAGACTGTTGAAAAGACCGCTTTCTGAACCCAGCTTTTTATAGTAGGGGTACTAAGCACTAGGTCTAAACAAAGGAATTTTTACAATCTCAGGGTCAAACCAAGAAACAGATTGCCTTATTTTACAATCATTTTAACAATTTTTTTTAGTTAAACTAATTTGTACTTAATCTGTTGTCTTCCTTGGTACTTCCAAGTAGTGTTTACTGAAGCCCTGAGATCCTCCTTTGATGCTGCCAGTTTCAGATAGCTGGGATAATGTATAACCCAGAGGTCATTTATCTATTTCCCAAAAGTTGACTCAGCTCATATCAGTAGGCTAGCTCTCAGTTTGCAGAGAGATGCTTTGGACTTGTAAATAGAGCTATAGGTTGTAAAGCAGAGTTGTCCACCATAAATCGTTAATCCTTGATCTGCTGAGAAAGCTGCTGACAGTCTTTTCTTATTTTCCTAGGATTACAACTTTATATTTCTTTATTTCTACATTCTTTTATTGTATCTACTAAGGTTTTTTTAAAATTTATTTAAAATTTCCAACTATTCCCACACTCCCATTTCCCTCCCTCTCTCCCCATTCCCACTCCCCCTTGTTCTCCAGTACTAATAGAAGTCAGGGTGCCCTGCCTTGTGGGAAGCCCAAGGCCCACCCTCCATCCAGGTCTAGGAAGGTGTGCCTCCAAACAGACTAGGCTCCCAAAAAGGCAGTACATGCAATGGAGTCAAAATTCAGTGTCATTATCATTGGTTTCTCTGCAACCAATCATTGGTTGGTCTGCAACTCATTGTCAGCCACATTCAGAGACTCCAGTTTGATCACATGCTTGTTCAGTCCCAGTCCAGCTGGCCTTGGTGAACTCCCATTAGATCAGTCTCACCTTCTCCATGGGTGGATGCACCCCTCACGGTCCTGACTTCCTGTTTCATGTTCTCCCTCCTTCTGCTCTTCACCTGGGCTTTGGGAGCTCAGTCCAGTGTTCCAATGTAGGTCTCTGTCTATATCTCCATTTATCGCCAGATGAAGGTTCTGTGGTGATATGCAAGATATTCATCAGTGTGGCTATGGGAGAAGGCCAGTTTAGGCACCCTCTCCTCTTCTGCCCACGAACCTAGCTGGGGAAATCCCCTTGGACACCTGGGAACCCTTCTAGAGCCAAGACTCTTGCCGACCCTAAAATGGCTCCCTTAATTAAGATATCTACTTCCCTGCTCCCATATTCACCCTTCCTCCATCTTAAACATCCCATTCCCTGAAGCTATCTCCAATCCTCCCCTTCTCCTTTCTCTCTCCCCATTTCCCCTTTTCACCATCCCACCCCCACCCCCTTGCTTCCAACTTTGCCTGGCAATCTTGTCTACTTCCAATATCCAGGAGGATAATTCTATGTTTTTCTGTGACTTCACCTTATTATTTAACTTCTCTTGGATCACAAACTATAGGCTCAATGTCTATTGTTTATGACTAGAATCAATCAGAAGAGATGGAGAAGGACACTTTATTCACATAACAGGAACAATTCATCAGGAGGTTGTCTCAGTCCTGAATATCTATGCCCCTAATATAAAAGCACCCACATATGTAAAAGAAACATTACTAGAACTCAAAGCATACATCAAACCCCATACACTAATAGTAGGAGATTTCAACACTCCTCTCTCACCAATGGACAGGTCAACCAGACAGAAACTTAACAGAGAAATAAGAGAACTAACAGATATAATGATCCAAATGGACTTAACAGACATCTCTAGAACATTCCTCCCAAACAGAAAAGAATATACCTTCTTCTCAGCATCTCATGGAACCTTCTCAAAAATTGATCACATGCTCAGTAAGAAAGCAAATATTCATAGATACAAAGAAATTGTAGTAAACACCTGTGTACTATCAGATCACCATGGAATAAAGTTAGAATTCAACAATTCAAGTCCCAGAAAGCCTACAAACTCATGGAAACTGAACAATCAACTACTGAACCACCCCTGGGTCAAGGAAGAAATAAAAAAGGAATACTGGCAAACCGATTCCAAGAACACATCAAAAAATTATACATCATGATCAAGTAGGCTTCATCCCAGAGATATAGGGCTGGTTCAACATACAAAAATCTATCAATGTAATCCATCATATAAATAATATGAAAGAAAAAGCCATATGATCATTTTATTAGATGCTGAAAAAGCATTTGATAAAATTCAATACCTCCTTATGATAAAGGTCTTGAAGAGATTAGGGTACAAGGTTCATACCTAAATATAATAAAAGCTATGTACAGGAAGCCGACAGCTAACATCAAATTAAATGGAGAGAAACTCAAGGCCATTTCACTAAAATCAGGAACAAGAAAAGGCTGTCCATTCTCTCCATACCTTTTCAATATAGTGCTTAAAGTTCTAGCAATAACAATAAGACTGCATAAGTAGTTCAAAGGGATTCGAATTGGAAAGGAAGAAGTCAAAATTTCATTATTTGCAAATGACATGATTGTGTACATAAACGACCCCAAAAACTGTACCAAAGAACTCCTACAGCGATAAACACCTTTAGCAATGTGGCAGGATACAAGATCAACTCCAAAAAAATCAGTTGCCCTCCATTACACAAAGAACAAAAAAGCAGAGAGGGAAATCAGAGAAACATCACCACCTTTCACAAAACCACAAATAGTATACAGTATCTTGGGGTAACTCTAGCCAAGGAAGTGAAAGATCTATTTAACAAGAACTTTAAGGCATTGAAGAAAGAAATTGAAGAGGATACCAGAAAATGGAAGGATCTCCCTTGCTCTTTGATTGGGAGGATCAACATAGTAAAAATGACAATTCTACCAAAAGCAATCTATAGATTCAATACAATCCCCATCAAAATCTCAACAAAATTCTTCCCAGACCTCGAGAGAACAATAATCAACTTTATATGGAATAACAAAAAACCATGGATAGCCAAAACAATCCTATACAATAAAAGTACTTTCAGAGGCATTATTTCTACATTCTTTTTTCTGGAATCTACTTACTTATATTATGTTTCTCAGACTCTTCAAGTGCTGCCTCCCTAGAACAGCCATGTTTGCCTCACTCTGTGTCAGATCTCAACCTTGTGACAATAGACTCTATTAATTATAGACATCCTACAAACCCTAAGAATGCCAGCAGATAGCATCTTCAGCCCGCAGAGAGGCTTCCTCCATCTTGATGCACCTGTCTCTCTGGGGTTCTCAGTCCTGCATTTTGAGCTTGCCTTGATTTGTGACTTTCTTCATTTGGTTAAGCTATAAAGTTCTTGTGAAACTGCTTCCTGTTGGCATAGGAAACTGGGTAACCTAAATCTGTGTTCTCAGGTTGCTTATCACACACAATGGCTCTAGAAAAAAGTATCTCCTAGTCTCTTTAGTTTCAGAGCTGTGGTTTTTTTGTGTCACAGTGAGATTAGAGACTCTGCATGTTGGTATTAGATCCAAAGCTGCTTTCCCAAAAATGGAGGTGCTGGTCCTAACAAGACCGTTTAGTAAAAAGAGGCCTGATGCGGGTCTCCATATACGAGAAAGGTCACCTATGGTGCATTTTCTGTTTACCAGGAGCCGTGCAAACCTTCCCAGAAATGTCAGCTGCCTCAGGCAAGGGCACCCAGTTCCCCTCAGTCTACATAGACTCAATCAGTTCAAAGTTCCCTTCCCTGCTGTCATATTAATTCTATTTACTTTTCTATCATTTTGTCTTCCAGTACTCATGCATGATTCTGTGTAATTACAGTCTGGTAGACACATAGGAAAATCAGTGTCTGCTCTAGCTGATGTCATCTTGTGTACAACAAAAGAATGAAATTAAAATCAGGCCCCAAACTACTAAGTCAGCAGAGAAAAATTCGCCTCGGCTTCACCTATTTCTGCTGACTCGCTGGTTGCTAGTGAAACTCTGAGGTAGAAGGACACTGGGCCTTAGGTCATAGCAAGATGCAGAGCCAGTACAGCTCTGATTCCAGTGGACACGCCGTGGGCCTCAGAGAGTCCCTCCACTTCCTCAGGGTCTCTGGCTGCAGGCTGGCTTCCACCTGCTGCATCCTGCCCTGGTCAGGGAGGATGAACACGGAGCTGGCATTGCCTGTGTACTTCAGCTCCACCACAGTGCAGGACAGCTCCTCATCCCAGAAGTAGGGTGTGGTTTGAAACTCATGGTGCATCATGGGCACCTTTACAGTTCTCTCGCTATCCAAGTAGAAGTTAGACTCACGTGTGAACTGAGGGAGAAAGGGCATCCTCCATTTCCCTAAATGTGGATCAGGTCATCAATTGTAACATCAGCAGAGAGACTCCACCGCCACTCTATTTTTGACCAGTAATAAGTCTTGACAGTAATAAGTCCATATTCAGCCATAGAGTTTCCCATTCTGGTTGATTAATCTAGATTATCATAAAGCTTCGTAGATGCTGAATTGTGAATGAGAAGTGATCCACAGGCTTAGTGTGGGAAATGATCTCATAATCATAGCTTCCCTATGTGATATGATTGAGAAACAGACAGGGATCTGAGGCTGGGTCATGTCATAGAGATGTGATATTGAAAACGATGAGACTGGAGCCTGCAGAAAGATGAGGATCACCATCTTAGAAGGTGGTCACTTTGGGACAGATTTTAAGGAAACATGACAAGAGAGACTGTGTTCTCAAACACCCTGATCTGTTGATGGTGCCCTTCAGTGTGTACCACCTTAATGGAAGTCAGTGACCAGAGCCATGAAAGGGGTTAGACTGAAGATTGTGAGATCTGTAACTTCTCAGTGTTGGATTACCACGATCTCATACTTAGCTGGCAAACATGGTCAATGAGTCCTCTTTTCCCATGTCAGCTATGTGCACATCCATGAATCAAAATTATACTACTCAGATTGGCCCACATTCCAAGTACATATGGCTATCTGCATTACACCCTAGAAGACTTGATACTTTCACAATTTCTTGGGCTCAGGATCCAGCAGCATAAGTACACATCCCCACCTCACAGACAAGCGGCCTTGGAGCAAGAGTCCTGTGGCCAGCAGAGAGCCACACCCTGTAGCCTCCTCCTTCAGCCATCCCTCTGCTTCCCCTCCCTTCAGACTGCAGAAGCTCTGGGATCAGCCTGGACTCCCATCCTCTACCTTCCTCTGTTGGCAGCCTATTGGTTTTCTGTCTACGGTGTCAGATCCTCACCTCCTCTGCCCTGACTCTCCAGAGTCTATGGTCTCAAGTCTACCTTCGGTCTAGTCACATCAGTATTTTATTCATGCCTCATCCTGCGGGGTCATTACCTCACTCTTTGGTCTTTCACACAGGGTTTTGTAGGTGTGGAGTCTGGATGTCTCCCCAATAAACCTTTACCCAATGTAATTCCAGCCTAGTGTCCCAACTCTCAACCCCAGATTCATTTCCTAGGAGTGTGTCTTCAGCTTGTGACCCTGCACGCTGCCCGGGTTCCTAATTTTACAAACTAAAATTCCATGACGCACTCAGACACTAAACACAGACCACTGGCTGGCTGACACTTCCCTCTCACTAATGAATTCTCCTCAGTCCTTGCTTTTTCATGTCCAGTCTTATAGAAAAGACTCAGAGGAGAGGTAAAGCAGAGAAAGTCCCCATGGGTCACTTAGATATTTGTCAGCCATGCTTCTTTCCCCTCAAGGTTAGGACGGCCAGGCTCCTTAGGTCAAGAAGTCCCCAGAGCACCTGGATCCTCCTAGAGAAGGAGGTTCTCTGGCCTACGGACTCTGTAGGAGCCTATTAGACATGCTGGAGTGGGCTGAGTGAGGGACCCCTTCTGCGGTAGTTTGAATGCAATTGGCCCCCACTGGCTCGTACAGAGTGACACTATTAGGACATGCGGCTTTTTTAGAGCAGGTGTAGTCTTGTGGAGGAACTGTGAGACAGGCTCTGATGTGTCATAAGTGCTTAAGGTACTGCCCAGAGTCTCCCTTCACTTTCCCTTGCCTGCAAGATGTAAAACTCTCAGACACTGCTCCAGAGCCATGTCAGCCTGCACACTCCCATGTTCCACCATGGTAATAATGAACTGAGCCCATGAGCTATATGTGAGTCACCCCAACTAAATGTTTTCCTTTATAGGAGTTACTATAGACATGGTGTCCCATCACAGCAGTAGAACACTGACTAAGACACCGTCTCTGCAGGGAGAAGCCCTGACTTCTGCACACTCAGATAGGAGTGGACATGTGGTCTACGTACTCAGCTAGTCAGTACGTTTATGTCACAACCAAATTTAGCTCTCCCAGAATGATAACTGAAAAGGTGTCCTCTGGTGTATGTATTGGGAGCCACACCTATATCAAAAAAAAAAAAAGTCGAAAGGGAAAGTAAGGACTGTTAATAATAAGAAGTTAGGTACCCCTGTCTTTAAGGGCATGAACTTCTCCTTTAAAATGCTCAGTGTATGAACACATGGTACAAAGCTAACACCCTCTCCATCCACCCCTAAAACAGTACCCATCCTCACCTTTAAAGTAGATGTAATTCACCAGCACCATTAATGTGTGCTCATCAAGGCCTGAAATCAGTTCCTTGATCTTCCCCTGGGTCTGATTCCTCACGTAGTCATTGATGAGCTTTTTGGTCTCATGAGGCTGCTGGAAGTTGGCACTAGAGGCCTCAGCCTGGTACAGCGTCCTTGCCAAATCCAGCCTTACAGAAAGTACTAGAAGGAAAATCCCAACCCAAGGAAGCTGATTGCACCCACAAAAACACAAATATCTGATAGCCCTCCACTAGCATAACCCAAAGAAGAAAAACACACAAACACTACTACTGAAAAATAACCGGAATTATCAATCACTGGTCATTAATATCGCTTAATATCAATGGATTCAATTCACCTATAAAAAGACACAGGCTAAGAGAATGGATATAAAAACAGGATCCAGCCATCTGGTGCATACAAAAAATGCACCTCAACCTTAAAGACAGACACTACCTCAGAGCAAAGGGTTGGGAAAAGTTTTCCAATCAGTCAAATGGACCTAAGAAACAAGTGGGTGTAGCTATCCTAATATCTAATAAAATTGATTTTAAAATAAAATCAGTCAGAAGAGATGGAGAAGGACACTTTATACTCATAACAGGAACAATTAATCAAGATGCAGTCTCAATCCTGAACATCTATGCCCCTAATACAAGACCACCTACATATGTAAAAGAAACATTACAAAAACTTAAATTGAACATCAAACCCCACCCACTAATAGTAGGAGACTACAACACTCACTCTTGCCAATGGACAGGTCTACCAGACAGAAACTTGACAGAGAAATTAGAGAACTAACAGATGTCATGAATCAAATGGACTTAACAGACATCTATAGAACATTCTATATAAACACAAAAGAATATACCTTTTTCTCAGCACCTCATGGATCCTTCTCTAAAATTAGTCACAAACTTGATAACAAATACAACCTCCACAGATACAAGAAATTTGGAGTAATCCCCTGTGTCTTATCAGATCACCATGGATTAAAGTTAGAATTTAACAATAATACTACTCTCAAAAAGCCTACAAATTCATGGAAATTGAACAGTGAACTACTGAACCACCCCTGGGTCAAGGAAGAAATAAAGAAAGAAATTAAAGACTTCCTTGAATTCAACAAATCTGTGCATTTTATGGATGAGAAAACTAAGGTACAGAGAAGCTTTGGCATTATCCCAAAACATCACGGCTCAGCATTATGACTCATGGGATGTTCTTCCAAGAGTCCTGATGCCAGAGGAAGAGTCTTCCCCAAGCTGATATTCTTAGCTCAAGGCAGCTCCATGGTGGTGAGCAGGTGGAACATGAAACAAGGCTATGGATGCTTCCCAGAGAGCTCCCAATGATCATGTGACCTCTATGCTGAGGTCAGAGGAGGATGAGAAGGTGGTCAGATGACCAGAAAAATGCTTTTGGCAGGGCAAATAGCAATGGAGGTATTCTAAGAATAATTGGGTGTTTAGGAAAGAAAAAATAATCACCAAATGGCAAAGAGCCTGACCCTAGGAGAATTCTGAAAGGACTCAGAATGACAGGGAGCTCTGGAGGGGTGAATCATGGTTCCTGTCCTGGGATCCTCAAGCCACTGGGGCAAATGTGGGGACCGACACTAAAGGCAGCTGCAGGGATCAGGAGGCCACATCTAGAGTGAAAGTGGGTGATTTCAGCTCAAAAAGGTGCTGGTTTTGTGCCCAGATAGAAGACAAGAGGAAGTCAAGTTTCATTTGTGTTATGGTGCTGAGTGTCTACAGAGACTCCATCAGTCCTGAAACACTTGCTAAAGGCCTGGACAGAGAGGGAATTTTGTATGTCAGTTTGAGACATGCTTGAGTCTCAAGGCTCCTGAGACACACACTGAGCGGGTAGACATGTGGCTGCAGACAATTACAGCCTGGGGTTCTCACACAAGATACCCTTGCTCATTGAGAACTGAGGCATCACCCATAGGGCCATCAAGCGAGAAGGTGGGGGCCATGTATTGGAAGCAGCTGTGTCCCAACAACTTCACTATGTCCAATCACGTCCCTGAGGTCACCACCTCATGTGCTCCATGAACACTGGCATGCCACAGCTGCATCCCTCCATCCACCCTAGTTCAGACCAGGAATCTAAGGCGCCTGCTGCTGAAGACATCTCATGCTGCCGTGAGCTGGATCTGAACACTAAGGTCTCAGTATGAGCTGGAATTTTGAAGAAGGAGCTCCAATGCCAGTGAAGGAGCAGATTTGCCAGTGAGAGCGAGAGCAGCAGGTAAAGAAGCAGGCATCCCTCCATGTCCTCTATGTAGGCCGCCAGCAGAACTTGTGGCCCAGATTAAAGTGGGTCTTCCCACCTCATAAGATCCAGATTAAAGCATCTCCTCCTGCTTCAAATAATTTAGTTAAGAAACATTTCCACATAGATGTACCCAGCAGCTAGGATTTCAGTTAAATCCAAAAGGAGTAAAGATAACTTTAATCCATAAACCCCTCACAAGTTCACTCCTTTTCAACTTAAAATGATATCATATCTCCCTAAATTATGCTTAATTTCTGCTTATGGTAATACTTTAACCAGGTCTTAGCTATGTCTCAGAAAGATTAACTGCTACACGGATGATTGCTGGTGCATTATATATTTAACCAGGTTATAATTACATCAATCATAACTCTCCTTCATTCCCCCACAGATCCATTATAATATTATGATAGGAGACCATGTTCCTTAAGAAGCATTGTTTTAGCATCTAAAACTTGATTATTATATGCGCTGATATTCTCTTAATTAATGTTACACTATATGATGAATAAATTGAGGAAAGAAAACACAAATATCTGTACAAACACATTCTTAACCAGGAAAGAACAGAAACCCCTGTGTCAATAATAATCCCCATTTCTGCAGCCACTGTTGCTGGAATCTGTAACTGTGGTCCTCCTTTGCTCATTCTGTATTCCCTGCACACTCAGCGAACACCTCACCAGGTCTTCACTCTTTCCCGGAGACGTGACCCAGGCCTTCATGCGCTTTGTCATCCTACCTGACTGGTTTCTTGAAGTTTCCCACCTTTAATCTCAGGATGTGGTCACACAAAGAGATGTTCTAAAGGATCACATGACCTCCAGACATAATCTTTGTCCCCTCCACTGTGGACAAGCAATCAAATTCTACTTGGTAATCAGGAACAATTGCTCCACCCAACACAGTTATTCCATTATTAAACTGTTAGATAAAAGCCATCAGAAACCCAAACAGCCACGTGAGTCTGAGCTTTCAAGTATTTCTTGGAAGGAGTAACTCAATCTCTAAAACTAGTTTCTAGGCCAACAGGAAATAAGATACGGAATAATAATCAGATATCTTCGTAGTGTGTCACTAGGGATGAGAATGGGTGCAAAGATAACCCTTTTCAACTCTTAACTACTGGACTTGTGGATCTTGGCTACAGAAGGAACTGTGCTATGTATTCGACAATGGTTCAAAGCATACACTACCTTCTGGGAAACCCTGCCCCAGCCCTCCAGAATGCTGCTAAACAATTAACAAAGCAACTGTGTCTTCTGAAAGGCATTTCATATTTCTATCAGGATAGCTGCTTCAGAATGGTAGGGAGCATGGTAGTAAAGCCGGTGAATTTCTTGATCCGGGGCACCCAGTCTCAATTCTCTGTGTGTAAAGTGAGTTCCTAGGTCAGAAGCAATATTGTGTGAAATAACATGACCATGGTTACGTTAGGTAAGTTAGGTAAGTCTATGGATGATGATTTTTGCAGAAGCAATGCATTCAGGAAATCCATAACCAGAATAATTATCTTCTCCAATAAGGAAAAGGCATATTTCTTTTCACAGAGACAGAGACCCAATATATTCAACCTGCCTCCAGATTGTAGTCTAGATGTCCAGGAGATGGTGCCCTACCTGGAACTCACTGTTGGTCTCTGCTCCTGCAGATCTGTTACTCAGCAGCAGACATTACAAGGTCAGTCTTGCAGTCCTTATCAGAAGTTAAACTTTATAGATTTGCTCAGGGCTTTGAAGGCTCTTGGACTGAGTATCCTAAATGTCTATCTATAGTAATAGTAGAGGTGATAGTGGGAGGATTATTTGCTTGTGATTATTAATAATGATAGAATATTGTTAGTTTTTGTGTGGGTTTGGTGAATAAATATTTTGGAATTATTGTTTGTAGGGAATGTGGTAAGTGAGGTTGAGTAAATCAGGTGAGTGTAGAAAAATAGATTGATTAAGGCAGTTATTGCTATTAATGTAGCTAGAATTAAGTTGTTATTTTTAGGAGTTCTGTAATAATAGCTCATTTGGGTAAGAATCCTGTGAGTGGGGGAAGCCCTCCTGTTGATAGAAGGATTAGTGAGATTTTGGGGAATGCTATTGGTATTTTATTTTATATAGGTGATAAAGAGGTGATTGACGTGAATGAGTGGTAGTGAAAGATTATAAATATAGGAAAGGTTATAAGAATGTAAATTAGAGCTCTCTTTCCCCCTTTCCCCCGGGGCCACAAGATCTCCCCAGAGCTGCTCCCTTGCACGCTGACCCTGGGCTGTGGGCTCAGCCGGACAGGGGCAGTTCCTGTGCTTTGAGAGCCTGCCTGAGGACAGGCAGGCCCTGAATCAGCTCAGTCACATTCCTGACCAGCAAGAGACAGTGAACTTCTAGCAGACATCCATTGGAGGAGGGGTGAGTTTGCTCCTGGCCCGAGGGCTTCGGCTAGGAGGAATTCAGACTTTCCCCGCCCCCCTCGACTTTCTGATCACCCTGCAGTGGTGGCTCCACCCTGCGGAGCTCTCCCGAATCCCATCCCAGCCTTCATCCAGGTACACCTTCCTCTCTTTCTCCCTTCCCCCTGGGGCCACAAGATCTCCCCAGAGCTGCTCCCTTACACGCTGAGCCTGGGTTGTGGGCTCAGCCAGGCAGGGGCAGTTCCTGTGCTTTGAGAGCCTGCCTGAGGACAGGCAGGCCCTGAATCAGCTCTGCCACATTCCTGGCCAGCAAGAGACAGTGAACTTCTAGAAGACATCCATTGGAGGAGGGGTGAGTTTGCTCCTGGCCCGAGGGCTTCGGCTAGGAGGAATTCAGACTTTCCCCACCCCCCTCGACTTTCTGGTCACCCTGCAGTGGTGGCTCCACCCTGCAGAGCTCTCCCAAATCCCATCCCAGCCTTCATCCAGGTACACCTTCCTCTCTTTCTCCCTTCCCCCTGGGGCCACAAGATCTCCCCAGAGCTGCTCACTTGCGCGCTGGGCCGGGGCTGTGAGTGCAACCCAGCAGGAGGGAGTGCCTGTGTTTCAATAGACTGCCTGAGGATAGGTAGACCTTCCGTCAGTGAAGTCCCTGCCCAACAAGGGAACCTGACCTGGTACCAGAAGATCCAATATAGAGCAGTTGAAGGAAGAGATGGGCAGACACCAAGGCAAGAACTCCTCCAATAATCTAAAAAAACAACATGAAAATACCAGATCCCAACGACCCTACAATAGAAGGACTTGAACCTCTTAATTCAGAAGAAGTGGAAAAGAGTGCCATTATGAAAGCAATAGAGTCCCTTAAACAGGATATGAATAATTCCCTTAAAGAACTAGATGAGAAGTACAACAAAAAGATTGAAGAAATGAGTAAAGAAATGGATGAGAAGTATAACAAAAAGTTCGAAGAAATGAGTAAATCCGTGAATGATACACTGGGAAACCAAGAAAAAAACAATTCAAACAGGTAATGGAAACAGTTCAAGAATTGAAAACTGAAATGGAGGCAATGAAGAAAACGCAAAACAAGGGCCGGCTGGATATGGAAAATCTAGGTAAACGAACAGAGACTACAGAATCAAGCATAACCAATAGGGTACAAGAGATGGAAGAACGAATCTCAGAGTCTGAAGATACCATAGAGAAAATAAATGCTCTGATCAAAGAAAACAGCAAATCCAACAAATTCTCATCACAAAACATTCAAGAAATCTGGGACACAATAAAAAAAATCAAATCTAAGAATAATAGGGATTGAAGAAGGAGAAGAACTGCAGATCAAAGGCCCAGAAAATATATTCAACAAAATTATAGAAAAAAACTTTCCCAACCTAAAGAAGGATATTCCTATGAAGGTTCAAGAAGCATACAGAACACCGAATAGACTTGATCAAAAAAAAATCCCCTCGCCATATAATAATCAAAACACAAAACATACAGATTAAAGAAAGAATATTAAGAGCTGCAAAGGAAAAAGGTCAAGTAACTTATAAAGGTAAACCTATCAGACTTACACCGGACTTCTCTATGGAAACCATGAAAGCCAGAAGGTCCTGGATAGAGGTACTGCAGAAAAAAAGAGACCATGGATGCAAACCCAGACTACTATACCCAGCCAAGCTATCATTCACTATCAATGGAGAAACCAAAATATTCCAGGATAAGAACAAATTTAAACAATTCGTAGCCACAAATCCAGCCTTACAGAGAGTAATAGAAGGAAAATCGCAAACCAAGGAATCCAGCATTGCTAACACTGCCTACAATAACTCAGACATCTAGCGACCCTTCATGAGCTTAACTCAAAGAAGGGACACATACAAACTCCATTAAACAAACAAACAAAAAATAATAATAACCGGAGTCAGCAACCACTGGTCATTAATATCACTTAATATTAATGGACTCAATTCACCTATAAAAAGACACAGACTAAGAGATTGGATACGAAAACAGGATCCAACATTCTGCTGTTTACAAGAAACACACCTCAACCACAAAGACAGACATCTACTCAGAGTAAAGGGCTGGGAAAATGTTTTCCAAGCAAACGGACCTAAGAAACAAGGGGGTGTGACCATTCTAATATCTAACAAAATCGACTTCAAACTAAAATCAATCAGAAGAGATGGAGATGGACATTTTATACTCATAACAGGAACAATTCATCAGGAGGAAGACTCAATCCTGAATATCTATGCCCCTAATATAAAGCCCCCTACTTATGTAAAAGAAACACTTCTAGAACTCAAGGCAGTCATCAATCCACAGACACTAATAGTAGGAGACTTCAACACTCCTCTCTCACCAATGGACAGGTCAATCAGACAGAAACCTAGCAGAGAAATAAGAGAATTATTGGAGGTAGTGAATCAAATGGACTTAACAGACATCTATAGAACATTCTACCCAAATAGGAAAGAATATACCTTCTTCTCTGCAGCTCATGGAACCTTCTCGAAAATTGACCACATACTTGGTAACAAAGCAAACTTCCACAGATACAAAAAAATATTAGTAACCACCAGTGTCTTGTCAGACCACCATGGATTAAAGTTAGAATTCAACAACAGTGCTACCCCCAGGAAGCCAACAAATTCATGGAAGTTGAACAGTCAACTACTGAATCATCCCTGGATCAAGGAAGAAATAAAGAAAGAAATTAAAGTCTTCCTTGAATTTAATGAAAATAAAGACGCAACATACTCAAACCTATGGGACACTATGAAAGCAGTGCTAAGAGGAAAGTTCATAGCACTAAGTGCCCAATTAAAGAAAACAGAGAAAGCACACATTAGAGACTTGACAGCACACTTGAAAGCTCTAGAAAAAAAAAGAAGCTGATTCACCCAGGATGTCTAGAAGACTGGAAATAATCAAACTGAGGGCTGAAATCAACAAAATAGAAACACAGAAAACAATTCAAAGAATCAATGAATCAGAAAGCTGGTTCTTGGAGAAAATCAACAAGATTGACAAATCCCTATCCAAATTAATCAAACGGCAGAGAGAGAACATGCAAATTAATAAGATCAGAAATGAAAAGGGGGACATAACCACAGACACAGAGGAAATTCAGAGAATCATTGGATCTTACTATGAAAATTTATATGCCACAAAGTTGGAAAATGTAAAAGAAATGGACATTTTTTTTTAGATAAGTACCATATACCAAAGTTGAACCAAGACCAGGTGAACAATCTAAATAGACTTGTCAGTCGTGAAGAATTAGAAGCTGTTATCAAAAATCTCCCTACCAAAAAAAAGTCCAGG